TTGTGACGAAGGGTGATAGCCCGAAGTTCAAACAGGATGGTGTCCACTCGTGGAGGCATAGACAGTTGACTATAGTTGTTAGATGAGAAAAGTCTGAACAGTGGTTGACACTATCAGAGGCTGGAAGAAATCTCTACAGTTAACTTCACTAGGGGAAGCAGGGAAAAAGTCTGCCTTTGTCCTTGAGATCCAGGTTTTTAAAAGATTCTTTTCCCCGGATCTCTAGCTTTTGATTGGTCGGTTTCCTGTATCTAAGCATATGACAGACCATTTCGAGCTATCACAAGTTTAATTCGACACTGTTTTTTAATCCGATCAATTTAAGAAATTTAAGAAATTAATCATATCTTGAAACTCCTGCTCATATTTAATTGTTTTGAATTGTTATAAGTCTGTCACATAATATCAGCGCTGCATCTCCTTTTAAGATTATTTAAAAACATTTTTTCTCTCGATTAATAATAATATTATTTCCCGATTTTATTTAGGTTTTTCTTCCAATTTTTACGAGCGTTAGAATCAAAGCCCCTTGATTTGACATCAAGCCCCTTGATTTGACAATCAAAGCCCCTTGATTTGACATTTTTACGATATTTTTAACACATGAGCTCGAGTATCGCTCGGGCTTCACATTAGTATTATTGATCATCATCATCATCCTCATCGAGAATCACGACAGTGACTATGTGCTAAGCAAAAAAGTCATTGGCTGACTGTAGGCTTACATACAGAAATGAGGGTTGCCAATTTTCGGGGATCGATTTCTCCGCCCCAAACGACGATAGTAATTCTGAATATCTCGTTCGAAAAACGATTGTTTTCGTAGGTAGTGTGAAAAATTTCAGACTTTTCTGTAAAAGTCTGAAATTTTATTACCATCAGAAATATAATGCAGAAATATCAGCAATCGAAAAGTACAAAAATCTGCATTATTTTCTTCTTTTCTTCACCCGGCGCTTTAAAGCAAAATGTAGGAAACTAAAAATCTTGTGGGTACCGCTTTGAAGCTCCAAGCTTATCTTTACCAAAACAAAAAACTCCAATGAAAAAAAAAATTGATCTAAATTGTCGTAAGTTTTTACTTCTCAGATGTTTTCGTTTGGATTAGATAAAGTACAATAGCCTATGTTTGTGGCATAACTGATCAATAAATATGTACTACACTACGTTCCGAATTTAATCTGCTGATTGATTATTTCTTCAAAATTTTAAATAAATTTTATATTTGACGATGATAATATTTTGTCAATTTGTAACATTGTGTATATAAGGCGGATGACGAAGCAGTTAAGGTGATTATTTCAGACGGGTCGAAAAACCCTAGGAATTTCTAGAGAAGTGGTCCGCCTGGATATGTCGGGCCTGGTCCTTCATCATCCGGCTGCACTATTGTAGGCTCGGCGGAACCCGTAATAGGCTTTCTGTAAAAGACCCCTCTTAGTGCCCATAAGGCAAAAAAATTTTTTTTTAAACTGAATATACTTTGAATATTTAATAATCGTGAAAGTTTGGAACTGCATAGACAACCATAATTAAGGAACAGAATAAAGTATTGATAAAAAAAAGACTCAAAATTCATAAAGCAGACGAGTTGAGAACCAACTTGCCATTTTGGTATCTCATTCGCCTTCGAGTGATTATTGACGGTGAAGTTTGGAGTTTCTTTGTAAGCACATCTTGCAAACAAAAGCCTCCGTCTGGGCATATAAATCAGCCTTTATTTGGGTCTCTTTGGACTTGTCGAGACAAACTTTTTTCTGTTTTGGTAGACAGAGTAGTAAGCGTTTCTTTCTCTTTGGATCTATCGAGACAAAACCTCCTCTAGGTTTTGTCTCGATAGATCCAAAGAGAAAGAAACGCTTCTGGCTTTTTTAATGGGAAGGCTCTGGTGCACGCTATAAAAATGAACTTTTCACAAATTAAATTTGCTACGATGTAGCATTTCTAAAATATAATATTTTAAAACTTTTAGTATCGTATGGTTCATTTATTCGTAAACTCCTGATTGTCTATACCAAGCCGATTTTACGAGGAAAATAGTTGTGTGCTGTATTGAATAACAAAAATTGATCCTTTATATTTCACACGTTAAGGGGATTCGGGAATGGGTGGAGGACACCATCAAAAATTATTTGTGTTTTACAATTCTAATTTTCTTTATTTATTCAATTGTTTATCTAGGCTTCTGATGTCATTAGTTTTCATCCCCAATCCATGCGATATTATTAACTATCAAGCAAGAGCAGAGCCTTTCAAAAATTATATCTTTGGAAGTTCTTACTATCTTTCAAGCCTCTGAACTGGTGGCTTTCCTTGCGAGACTCGAATCCAGAAACCTAAGCTCTCGTTACCAGTGGCGTAGCGTGGATGTCAGCCGCCCGGGGCGGAGGAAAATTTCGCCCCCTCCCTTATTTAGGTATCTCAATTTAAAAGACTAAAATTCAGTTTCGTCACAGAATAAGTAATGAAAATTTTCGTGCTAGTGTTGCCACCTTTTTAAAATCGCCGACCCGGACGGCAGGTAAGATTTGATCGAACAGAAGTTCCTGACGCATGCGTATGTCATTTTGCAACGCGAAGAATAATTTGCAGTGCTTGCTGGTTCTAAATCAGTTACAGTTAGCGACTAGGGAGACTTGGACAGGAGTAACGCAAGTGACCTAGCTCTATTGGATATTGAAGGTGTTTATATATACGAATAAATCGTACAAGCAAAAAAAAATAAAATAAAATAAAATAAAGGTCGACAGGTTGCGCACGATATCCCCGGACGGCGAGTCGATTCCCGGACTGTCTGGATAGTATTCTGTGTTCGTTTCAATCGGTCCGAATCGTAGGTGCACGAAAATATGAAATAATAATATTTTGTAAGAATTTGAACCATTTTATTATTTATTGTGAAATTTTGCCGCCCCCACTACGCTACGCTACTGCTCGCCAGCTACAAGTTCATCAGTAGATTCATCATGTTTAATGTTCATAAAACTTCAGAGTTCGTTCAAAACACTAACACTGTATATTGCTAAAATGTATAATTCAAAAAGTGTTGTGCTATGTTTTCTCATTAGCCTAATCATATTCTTAAATGTTTAAGTGTTTATTAATCAATCATTCAATCGATAATCATCATCATCATTTGTTAAGTTTTTAATAAAATGTGTGTTTATGTGCGAAATACGTAATCTGTGTTTATTATTTAGTTTATAATGTTTAAATGTTTGTTAGTTTACCTAGAAAATATACGAGTATTATTGATTTTTTGTAGTATACTGTATAGAGTCTTTTCTAGTATGCAGTATTCATGGCTTAGAAAACCTGCGTGTAGTAGATAGGCTTCATGATACAGTACATTAGTTTTACAGGCGTAATTCAAAATTAGCTTAATTCTACAGTATTTAAAGCATGCTTGTTGTTGTTTAAAACATAAGCATGCTTTTTAAATGTTTAAATGTTTTTTGTTTGTATTTTAAACACTTTGTTTTTGAACATTTCTTTTATAACAAGCAACCTTGATTAACCTTGATATTTTTCAATTATTTCCTAAACGAACGCTAGATAATGAGAAATTTCAAATTACAATTTTATTTACAATTTATTCAATTGTTCATTTAATACAGATTTATTTCTCACTTACCTTTATGTTCAAATTTATACTTATAAATACATTACATGCTCTAACGAAGAAACATTGGAAGTTGCCAACTGGCGAGCTTTGGCTCATAACCATCGTCAGGATTTAATTCTTGCACAAATAAAGCTTTTCGCTTTCTCGTCTAGCCATATTAATCATTGTGTATTGGAGTTTCTACACTCTTCACTTACATTATTTGCATAAAGCTATCTTACATATACCGATCGACATCTTAGCATAAATAGCTGACTTATTGTTACGTTGTAGTTAGAAACTCTGCCATTTTAATGAAATGAATTATATTTGAGATAGAATTTGAGTTTAAATTATCCCTTTCTATGATTTAAATTTTGTTTTATTCGATGATTTCTCTTTGCATTTTTAAATGCTTGAAAATTTCATAAATAGATTATTCCAAAGTGACATCATTGCATATAAATAATTTATTCAGATAAATTCTCTATAATTGAAATTGTTGTTTGGAATGTATAAATTTCGATGTACGATTTACTTTATAAATGATCGCTGACTTATGAAAAAATACGAATTACAATCATATCCTTTAATCGACGTCATCTCCATTGGTGGATCAATGGTTCTCAATGGTGCGCGCATATTACTGTGCCCCAAACTGCACATAGAAATGCCACGTAACTTCAAAAATATTTTATACAATTTTTAATATTTGTATGCTTTTATATTTTAAAAGTGCAGATCTTTAATGTCACCTTTCGTTCATACATATAAAAGTATTTTTGCGATTGACAGACTGCTCTGGGGATCATCGAATCCGGGCGAGCAACCGCAAAGATTTATCCTAGATATGTCAGGCCCCATCCTTCACCACCCTAGGCTAGTCGAACCCACGACGAGTATGGAAAATGCCCTCTTGGTGCCCACAGAGCGGATAGTTAAAAAATGAAGAAAACTTTCTTTGAAGCGACATCGACTCGTTACTATACTGTACCATCAAGAATTGTGTAGTCCCTTCAAAAAGTGGAATATCGGATCCTCAATACTCATGTGTATAGTACATACTGTCTGTAACTTTCTATTTCAGCCTTAATAAAATGAAAACTAGCATATTGTTACATTACGCTCTGTAGTTTTTTGCACTTATTAGTAAAAATCAAATACCTTTATAGAATGAAATTATTCAAAAATGGATGACAAGAAACTTATTAAATTTAAAAATATTATTAAGTGCATCATTTTTCTCCTTTCAATGAACTTTTTAAAATATAATAAATTACAGTTTTTGAGGAAAACGATTGCTTTAAGCAAACTCTTTGAAAAGATNTTTCTATGTTTTGTACTTTCAACCGATGAAATAAATGATTGATTAATCGTTAGCGTGAAAAAATGCAATCGACAGGTAACAAAAAAGTGCAAAAATCTGGAGGTCAAGTAGGACTTGTGACCAGCATTGTCACATCCTATCATCGATGTAACAGAACACTGATTTAATATAATATCCATTATTGAAAAATAAACATCCATATTTGAGTTTGTTAATTTTTCACATACTTTGCTTTCTGTCCAGTACATCAATTGGCAAAGCTTATAGCTTGGATATAACAAACCTCCTCGAGATTTGATGAATGTAAATGCCTTCTCTGGTGCAGCATCCTCAGGTTTTGCTGTTAGTATATTTTTGAATTCATCACAACCGAGTGATGGTAGTAGACGATAAACAATGTAACCTCCTAAATAATGTAGGATAAACTTAAATGTTTCTGGTGTACAATAATCATGATCTAATAATTAACTATTACTAGGATCTCCATATTATAGGCTTGGATCACAAAGCAAATTTTCTAAATGTTCTTCCAATTGTTCTTGAACTAATTTAAATGGATTTTTATGACTATGAAGAAGATTTTTTAAAGTAATAAGGATAGATCCCAAACGAGCATCAGTTCAAACTGATCCTCGTTTGGGAGGACGAACCAAACTGTACAATCTGTACAGGTATAAGAACTGTACTGTTATGGGATGAGAATTGCTTCCACTTCCTTATCATTCCAAAGAAACGCTAATTGAAAAGAAAACATAAGAGTTTAATACAAGATTATATAGTCATTACACTAAGTCAGTTTTACCTCTAATGGGTCCTGATTAAAGTGAGCTGTCAGGATATAATATGAGTTTGGAAGCAATTGTTTGATGATTGCTAAGATACTAGTCAGCGTCAAGTGTAGATTTTCTGCTGTTTGGTGGCTCAAAAATCCCTTTTGATCAGTGCTTCTAATCTGTAATCTGAATGCTTCCCATCTATTTAACCATTCTAGAGATTCTTCAATAACCTATTTTAAAAAAGTTGTTAATTAAAACATTTATAGTTTTTCCTAGTGAATCATTACTATTACCTTGAGATCATTTGAATCATGTCTGATTCCTTCCTGTAGCATCTACGATTTAATTAAAGCATCAAAAAGAGCATTGATGTGACGTATGAAACTTATTAAAGTATTACTAAATATCTATAAATAAATGAGATAAATAAAAGTATTCTTATCATGTCAAGATTATATAAGTAAAAAAAAGTGTTACTTAAGCTGCCAGCAATACATTCATTCTCTGGAAGTTATTGGGATTAACATATATTTCTGTCACTTTGGGACATACCTTTAATCCCTTTGGTAATTTGGAATCTTCATCAACAACTGCTTCAAAATGCTGCAATTCTACCCTTCCTTCAGGAAACTAAAAGTAAAAATGCAGAATAATGCAATGGCTTATATTATAAATTAGGTGAAAACACTTTATTTTCTTAGTTTTACCTGAAAGTATNATATTTTTCAATTATTTCCTAAACGAACGCTAGATAATGAGAAATTTCAAATTACAATTTTATTTACAATTTATTCAATTGTTCATTTAATACAGATTTATTTCTCACTTACCTTTATGTTCAAATTTATACTTATAAATACATTACATGCTCTAACGAAGAAACATTGGAAGTTGCCAACTGGCGAGCTTTGGCTCATAACCATCGTCAGGATTTAATTCTTGCACAAATAAAGCTTTTCGCTTTCTCGTCTAGCCATATTAATCATTGTGTATTGGAGTTTCTACACTCTTCACTTACATTATTTGCATAAAGCTATCTTACATATACCGATCGACATCTTAGCATAAATAGCTGACTTATTGTTACGTTGTAGTTAGAAACTCTGCCATTTTAATGAAATGAATTATATTTGAGATAGAATTTGAGTTTAAATTATCCCTTTCTATGATTTAAATTTTGTTTTATTCGATGATTTCTCTTTGCATTTTTAAATGCTTGAAAATTTCATAAATAGATTATTCCAAAGTGACATCATTGCATATAAATAATTTATTCAGATAAATTCTCTATAATTGAAATTGTTGTTTGGAATGTATAAATTTCGATGTACGATTTACTTTATAAATGATCGCTGACTTATGAAAAAATACGAATTACAATCATATCCTTTAATCGACGTCATCTCCATTGGTGGATCAATGGTTCTCAATGGTGCGCGCATATTACTGTGCCCCAAACTGCACATAGAAATGCCACGTAACTTCAAAAATATTTTATACAATTTTTAATATTTGTATGCTTTTATATTTTAAAAGTGCAGATCTTTAATGTCACCTTTCGTTCATACATATAAAAGTATTTTTGCGATTGACAGACTGCTCTGGGGATCATCGAATCCGGGCGAGCAACCGCAAAGATTTATCCTAGATATGTCAGGCCCCATCCTTCACCACCCTAGGCTAGTCGAACCCACGACAAGTATGGAAAATGCCCTCTTGGTGCCCACAGAGCGGATAGTTAAAAAATGAAGAAAACTTTCTTTGAAGCGACATCGACTCGTTACTATACTGTACCATCAAGAATTGTGTAGTCCCTTCAAAAAGTGGAATATCGGATCCTCAATACTCATGTGTATAGTACATACTGTCTGTAACTTTCTATTTCAGCCTTAATAAAATGAAAACTAGCATATTGTTACATTACGCTCTGTAGTTTTTTGCACTTATTAGTAAAAATCAAATACCTTTATAGAATGAAATTATTCAAAAATGGATGACAAGAAACTTATTAAATTTAAAAATATTATTAAGTGCATCATTTTTCTCCTTTCAATGAACTTTTTAAAATATAATAAATTACAGTTTTTGAGGAAAACGATTGCTTTAAGCAAACTCTTTGAAAAGATTACATTAAAGTTTTCAATGGAAAAATTCAAAAACATTAAATAACTAATTTCTGAGAAGCGAAATCATCTGTTTGTTACTTTTAATTAATATCAAATAATCTTAATATCTAAATGTATGAATTTGATTTCTCTATCCTCAATCGCGTTATAGTCTTTCAGATAATTTATCCAAGGCATGCACTGTACCAAATCTGATGTTTCAAGATGTCCTGAGTGCCGGATTGTTCTGAGTGTTCGAATGAGAAGGAACAGTTAATTGGCCGAATGGAAGGACCGTGGTTTTAGGAAGTTTGAGGGCTTCTTCATAAGAAGGTGGAAGATCTTCTTCCACATTGTAGCTGACAGAATATGGATAACTTTGTGGGTCTGTTTGGTTTACATCCTGGAAGGAAAAAAATAAAAAGTACAAATTAGACATCTTTCATTATTACAAATGAATGATTTCTATTAAAATGAAATAGATAAACAGTCGTAACTATCTTTTAGTGACCTGTGCAAAAACTCTTTTTTTTGAGGGGAGAAATAATAATAAAACAATGTTTATAAGTAATTTTTACGTGCACAAGAAATAGGCGATAATATTCATGTGCATTTATAAACAAAAATATTATTACAGTGTATTTAACAATTATTTTGTTAGTTCCATTTTGAGGCCCCTTTCTCCCAAACCCTGTACACCTGCTTTAGTTACGGCAATAATGAATAATATTGTCTGCTTGAGTTCGTGAGAATTTTAATTAATGTAATGCTCGATATTTATAACATTAAACTTGAAATACTTAACGAATTGATTAAATAGTATTTTCCAAAAGTGGAGTATATACGGTATATCCGAATTATCTGACAATATTTCAAAAAAAAGACCAAGAAAATTTTTATACTAATGAAAATATTAAGATTTCAGAAACATTCAAATTAACCAGACACAATTTTATGATTATGCGACAGTTGGGCTGTGACAATCACTCGTCATATTCTGTATATAAATGAAATTGTCGGTTATAAATCCTAGAATGTTCCATCGCCCATTGTTGCGTGAAGGGGCAATAAGCTGGCGGGGAGCAGGGAGGTCGTATATATTGACACGTGGTTGGAAGAGGGACTCTTCTTTTCTTGTCGGTGTCATCACGTGAGAAGTACGAAAGCGGTCAGTGACGAAAATGTTCTGCAAGGGAAGAACTAAGAAAGTGAACGGACTCGGTTCCAATAAAGGAACCGAGTCCGTTAAGTCTTGTCTTAATCGCTGACTAAGACAAGACAGCGATTATGTGGCATGGAGTTTAGAAGAACGTCTTCCGTTATAGTGTCACTCACTTCCCTTTGTCTGACTGTGTAATGACGGTAGGATTTTTGTAAGAAAGGAAATTTGCGGATTAGGCTAATATGGCATTTGTGGCGATTCGATGAATTGAATGATTGTAACGGGCACCTGAATATTTGTATTTTATGAATACCCTCTGATTATTGTTTGTATTGAATTGGATTGTAACACAACTTTTATAGTTAAGAAAATAAAAATCTTACAGGGCAATCTCAATGGGCAATGGTCAAGTAGAGAACATGTTATTACGCGACTGTCATTTGGTTGACGGAAAAATCTTTACACGTTCAGCAAGCATACGATTTGGAGGGGGTTTTTTTGTAAACATTGATAAAATACATATAAATCACAAGTCATCAAATTTATGGATTTTTATAAATGGACTTCGAAAATTTCAAAAACCATATGATATTGATTATAAAAGAGCAGTAGCAGGTATTCAACATCAGCACAAACATAGACGCTGGGATGAAGCAAACCAAAGGATTTTTAGTAAGATTTTAAATTACGACAGGGAAAATAGAATATTTACGTATATATAAGTATAATACGAATTAGTAAATTTAAAATAAAAATTTTATTTTGAATTTCGTATACTTTTTTGTTTTAATGTATAGGCTACTTGTATATGTAACATGTGTAAATATATTTGTTAATTACAAAATAATAATAAATGAATTAAAATAAAGAAAAACCTAGAGTTTTTCTTTATTTTAATATTTTGCAATTATATCTTTTCATTCTTAAATTATTTTTGGGGCCACTTTTTCAAATTAAAAATTTTTGAGATATGAAACGAAAATATTAACTAGCTGACTTATTTTTTGCATGGGAAATTTCAATATAACTTCTATACGATTTTGTAACTCTACATAATTTTATTAAATTTTAAAAAATATTTAAATTTACCGAGTAATCAATAGAAAATAATATGAATTTTAATAATGAAAACGATAAAAGTTGCTTTTGTTTTCTATTGTTTTGTCGCTCAGTTGACCATGCCCCAAATTTTATAAACACATATTTTTTCTGTTTATATTGAATGCACATTTTATTTATGTTTTTACAACGTAAATTGCCTTAATATTGACAGAAAATTTATAAAAATTATTGTGTCTGCAGGACATATTAAAATTTATTTTAATTGATAGAGGCAATTGTCAAGCAATTTCTATATTAATTCCAGGAATGTTCAATTAATAAAAAAAACTCACTCATTGCAGCACTAATATAGAGGAAAATCTGAAAGTGAACCCAAAATTTGGAAAAAAAAGCTCTGGATTTTACTTTCCCGGCTCTGCTATGTATAACAGAGGAAAAGTATGGCAATCGGTCAAAACTGACCCTCCAAAATTTTTACATTTTTGGATTCAGAACACCTTGAAACGTCGAGGAATGCAAAAAAATTTTCTGTGTGTGTTGGTGGCATGATTTTGTTCAACCTGTTTGAAGCTTAATGACTCCCGTAATTTTTGCGTAAAATTTCTGAAATTTTGTAGAGAGGTTTGTTTATTAGGAAGATTGATGCTATTAAATTTTGGTGGTTAAAGGTCGAGGGAGTGGGGAGATAATGGGGGCCGTGTGTATCTCCAGTAGGGTCAGACTTAATGACGATTTTATTCGTTAATAGCATTTACAATTTTTAAATAAAATCAATTCCCTACCCTCAAAATTAATTTTTTTACCATTTTATAATAGTTAAAAATATAAAAAGTTTTTAAAAATAAAATATTGTAACAGATGACGCCACCAAATGTTGCCGGGAATGTTAAGCAATTCGTTCCTGGATTTTTAAATCTGAGTACATTTGAACCTTTTTTTTTTTTTAATTTTGGAGTGAAGGCTGATCATTCAATTCAAGATGCTGACGTTTTTGCCGACTTAGTGCTTGGCCTTACGTGTGGAGGGCAGAATAATGCCTTCCGGGAGGTCTTTTAAGGGTAACTGGCCCCTATTCAGGCACTACAGTCGTGCAGAAAATCCTGAAAATTCTACGTGGTCAGCCCGTCCTGGCGAGGCACGAACCCACGACCGCTTGGCCACATTACAAATATCTTTAAAGCATAGCTCTTTTAAAAAATAATAAACGAATTGAAGAGAGAAGTGCACCTAAATATCGTGCCCATTTTGAAAAACTCAATTTCTGAAGCCATGTCTTCGTGAAAATTTATTAGTCTATTATAAATTTATAATATGAAAAAGAGGATTGGGAAAGATATCCGATAATTTTTATACTACAGTGTATAATTTAAAGCTTCTTTAAGCTTTAATCGTTATTTAAATTATGAAAAAGTTCTCTATTTTTCAAAAAAAATATTTAAATTNTTTTTTTTTTTTTAATTTTGGAGTGAAGGCTGATCATTCAATTCAAGATGCTGACGTTTTTGCCGACTTAGTGCTTGGCCTTACGTGTGGAGGGCAGAATAATGCCTTCCGGGAGGTCTTTTAAGGGTAACTGGCCCCTATTCAGGCACTACAGTCGTGCAGAAAATCCTGAAAATTCTACGTGGTCAGCCCGTCCTGGCGAGGCACGAACCCACGACCGCTTGGCCACATTACAAATATCTTTAAAGCATAGCTCTTTTAAAAAATAATAAACGAATTGAAGAGAGAAGTGCACCTAAATATCGTGCCCATTTTGAAAAACTCAATTTCTGAAGCCATGTCTTCGTGAAAATTTATTAGTCTATTATAAATTTATAATATGAAAAAGAGGATTGGGAAAGATATCCGATAATTTTTATACTACAGTGTATAATTTAAAGCTTCTTTAAGCTTTAATCGTTATTTAAATTATGAAAAAGTTCTCTATTTTTCAAAAAAAATATTTAAATTAAAAAAAAAAAAACACTGAGACATGGCTCAAAGTTAAAATTATGCACGGCTCCATCTATTATGAATTTTTTAAATAAAATAATTGTTTATAATGTTAATTATTTTAAAAGGTAATGCCTTATTTTGGGGTAAAGGTGAGTTTTCAAAAAAATTGTAAATGCCAATAATGAAGTAAAACTTTCATTGAGTCAGACCCTATTCGAAATATGACCCATGGCCTCTCTTTATCTATCCCTCTTGGCTTACTGTAGCCTATAATCTCTAAACTGTATGAATGCTCCATGTTTAGAAGTATTCCTGCCAGATTTAAAAATTTTTGTCCATGCAGTTGAGATATTAAGCAAAGTAGACAGCAACATACGTCTAGAATTTTTTAAGGGATTTCGTATTTTGGGGTTCATGGAGTGTCAAAACATTGAGAAATGCAAAAAAAAGGGAGAGGCCCAAAATTTTGCCGATCATTATACTTTCCCTCTGTTATATTCTATAGCAGCCGGGAAAGTAAGAACATTAACATTAACTGTAATAGTTTTTAATACTATACAGCATTGTTTTATAATTTAGCATAGTTAGTAGGATAAAGGAGGTAATTCTGATTAACCCAAATTTAATAAATTGGCAGCAGTTAATAAATATTTAATAATAAAACACGCTAAATAATTACAAGACTGGTAGAATAAACTTTTTGTGTTTAGAAAACTTACTATAAGAAAAGTATACTAATTATTGTAAGGTAATGTAAGGTATAAATTTTGTTGTAAAGGATAATAATTGTCATGAATGCAATGTGAGAATTTACTGATTTACTAGCCATGTCTGAGGTTAATCACAACCGAAACAGAACTATCTAATTTCCAACGTAGCATTTTCGGTTAGTCCGATCACTACTGATCGGAATTGCACAGTCGCGTTCGAAAAACTTTGTGATGACAACGAATGTAATGATACTTGCCATCTGCAAGACGTGTGACATTTGCATTCTATGTGACGACGAGGGGTTGACAATGAACTTTGGTACAGGTATAATGTGTTCAAATTGGGCATGTGCATTCTGCACGCACTTCGACTTACCCGAGGAGCGTATCTGAAACTTCTGTCGGCAGTGATAAATATTCGGAGTGAAACAGTGGCGTGTCGTGACATTTGATGATAGGGAAGCTGTGTTTCTGTAAGAAGCCGACATCCAGGGGCAATCAGTCAATTGCGCCTCAGTGATGGTCTAGGATCCATTCGTATCGTTTATTCGATAAGCCAGTAAAAACCGTAAACTTCTCTAAATGTATTTTTAATATCACAATTACATTCCGAATCGCTAGCCACGATATAAGAGCTACAATTAAAAATAAAATAATAAAAACTTACTTGGTGAAATAAAATGTGTGGTGGATGTACCGGTACATACCTGGTACAAAATATTCTTCAATTGTATAAATATACTTTTAAAGAAAATAAATATTAACTAGCTGACTTATTTTTTGCATGGGAAATTTCAATATAACTTCTATACGATTTTGTAACTCTACATAATTTTATTAAATTTTAAAAAATATTTAAATTTACCGAGTAATCAATAGAAAATAATATGAATTTTAATAATGAAAACGATAAAAGTTGCTTTTGTTTTCTATTGTTTTGTCGCTCAGTTGACCATGCCCCAAATTTTATAAACACATATTTTTTCTGTTTATATTGAATNAAGAAACGTACATAAAAATATAAAATATTCTTTACTTTTTAAATCTTAAAACAATCCACTTAGTCAAATAGCTCCCTACGAGTGGCTAATGGATGGAATCGAAGACGGTTGCAGAGCGAGCATACACGCGGACTGTCAAATCCCCAGGGTGCCGATACCGGTCAATGTCAAATACCTCTTTTGTCGCATCACTAGTATATCTCAAAGGACGTGACAGGGCTGTTGTAGATTTTAAACGTTTCTCACTATAGCTGTAAAAATCTAAATATGTTAAACTTAATAGTCATCTGTTTTCTAATTCGTTTTAGGACCAAGTGTCCTCACAAATTTCCAAAATTTACAACTTTTCGGTCAGTCTTATTGAACTGGAAAAATTTCTGTATTACATTAATAATACGAAGAAATCAGTCTCCACTGTACTCGGCTAGAGATGGTTCGGTTAAGTTTTTGTTTAAGTAAAATTTCGGCTCTTTCGTCAGGGTTTTATTTTTGTCCCCACTTCTCTAATCGCTCAATTATTTAACTACTTCTTAAGTAGAAATAAGTCGAAACCGGTTACTTTGTACTCGAATATTTGTAGTCTTGGGAAAAAAGTGGAAAGACAAATTTTTATGACAACGGATACATAAATCGTAAAATTAAGGAAAATAAATTCTAGAGCTTTTTCTGTACCTCGTGCATCTCTCTCATTTATTAAATTTAGTTGTAAATGATGCTACCAAAGTAACAGTTAATTTTTTAACATTATACAAGAATTGTACACGTTTTTTTTACATCCCCTTAGAGATGGGATATACGAAATCGTAATATCACTGTAACATTGAAATCCGTGAGTAATATAAAATCGGAGAACTATACAAGTTTTATACAGAACTATACAGAACTATCATCAGTGCCGGCCCGAGGCAAGTTTTAGGATGGAGCGAGATCCTATTATGGCGCATCTCTTGGTTGCCCCTAATTTATACCCTTTAATTTTCTTTACCACTGAGGCGCCCCCTAGGATTTAGCGCCTGGAGCGGCTGCTCCGTTCGCCCTATGGTAGGGCCGGCTCTGACTATCATAAAAACATACCAGTAAATTCTTATCGGTTCGATTAAGTTATAAATCTATTCGTGATTTAGGTAATCGGGCGAGGGCGGCCAAATATCTAGCAGGCAGGCGGCTAATAGCCCAGAACCGGTCCTGGATAGAATTGGATGCGGTATACGTGTCGCATCCAGCCAAGGTCGTAGGCTTCCACCGGCTAAACCAAGTGAGGTTGGTGCTCTGTAAAGCGCATGCGCGAATCTGGCATTTTGGATGCTGACAATAAAGCGCTTCCATTCCGCCACTAATATCCGAATATACAATAGCACTGTTATCTTTTTTCTCACGTGTAGTATAGAAATTTGTAATAAGATACATAATGCGGTTATAATAAAATATTGTGCGATTATTTTCATGTAATTAAAATTAATATGTATTTATTTTTTAGAAAATACAAGGGAAGCGGCGCATCCACGCTTCCAATAACAGCACGCCACTGGAGTGAAAGAAGGTAATTTTTTGTTAATCCAAAACACATTCAGTGGATGATCAGAACTACCCACGTCAAGAGAAATCCAATAAACAGTGTATTTGACAAAACAGTTAATTTTCAATCTCTTAACTGATATTTGTTGCCACATAGATCTAAGTTTGCTAATTATACGTATATACTTATTGCAATTACTTGTTACAAATTAATTTTCTTTTACTAACATTTATCACTTAAGTGGTCGAAATTCTCCCCCCCCCTTTATCTTATACTGTAATACATTATACAGAAAACAGATTTAGATGCATGTATACATAGTTTATTTCAACTTCTATGCAGCTCTTTTATAATCCTACCCATTAAAACAGCAATCCTATCCTTCCAAACAGAATTTCAAAATGAATTTGTTATAAAAATCTACTCCAAAACATGCTTCGGGACACCAAATACAAATAATCCATTTTTATCTTTTTTTTAACTGAAAAAATAATAATGCTATCATTATTATGTTCATTACATCAAGCAAATATTTAAATGCCTCAAGAATGAAACTTTTAATAATCTCAATAACACGAAACTTTAAAATATTCTTTTAAGCAGAATTTTGAACAGTTTTTCGGGAGATGGTCCGTCCGGATATGTCGGGCCAAGTCCCTCACACCCAGCCGCCCTATTATGGGCCTGGCCGAATCAATAATGGGCTTGCTAACTTAGTGCCAACAGGACGGAGAGAGTTTAAAAAACACATTTTCAAGTTTAAATGAAGTTAATAGTTTCTTACTATAAAAAAAGCATTAAAAAGTGATGTGTCCAAGGTTACAAGGATTGAAAAATGGATTGACGTTTTGGATTGCACAGGATTAAATATGAAAAAATCAGGACATTCTGAATTTTTCATGCTTGTTGGCAATTCTGAATGACCTACATCCAATAGAATTCTACTATAGAGGCAATTTTCTCATTCGCTAGCACCTCGCATTCGGTATTCTGGATAAATATTCAGTTGAAAAAAATACGTTTTGTTTCGAATTGAAATCGAAGACAGAGCAAATATTTTCGTGTAGAATTACAATAAAGTTTACAGTATTTTCGAAGAATATAAGAAATCGAGAGACGTTCTTTCAAAACCATAGCAATAAATTGATTTTGAATTATAATTTGAATGAAATTATTGAAGGACTCACTTCGTTTGGGTGCGTGAAACTGCGATTGTCGTTCCCCGTTGGTCTCCTGGACGAAAGCCGAAATTCGTTTTTGTTAAGCAATATTCTCCAACAAATGACCAAAATCCAAAAGATAAAGTTCAGAAGCAGAAGCACTATGAGTACACTAAAATTACAAATTCATGTTTATATTGAAATAAATAGAAACTTCTTCTTTTATTAATAAAAAATAATAAAAGATTCAATTAAAATCATTTTAATTTTCTCTACTAAATTATTTATTTATGGTAATAATAATTTTACCATTTATAAATTTAAGAATTAAAATTTTTAAAATATAATATTAATAATTTTTTTCAAAAACTTTAAAGTCGAAAAACAATGATGACACGCAATAATTGTGTTACAATATTTTACATGATTAAGCATTTTAATGTAGCACTTGGCGACTTGTGATCGTTCGACGAACGATTTATTTATCTCGATGGTAATAAACATTTTTACAATATTTTATCTGAAATGTGTTGACAAAAAAAGTCGTTTAACGTGTTTAGTATTCGTAAACAACTACCTCAACGGCAGATGGTTAAGCCGTCGTCCTATCGTTCTGAGGGATCCAAGATCGAATCCTGGCTAAGCAACTCTTCAGGAATTTTTTATGGGCGGTCTGTCAGTCCCTTCCCTCCTCATCTGCCGTCCTATTGTGGGTCTGCCGAAAAAGGGCTTTTTATTATTATTCCACGATGGGCATGATTAAAAAAGGCCCTCTTAGTTTCCACGTGACGAAGAGTCAAAAGATAATTTAAAGAAAAAAAACCTCTATTAATATCCTCGGGGAGGGGAATAAAAATTGAAAAAACTCTTTTAATAAAGGTATTATATAATAAAAAAATTATTATATAACGTTTTATCTTTATATTATATTACTATCTTTTCGTATAATTACACTCTAATTATTCTTTTTATTTCTTTTCATATGATAATGAAAGTTTCGTATTTTTTTAAATGCAGGGATCAATATAAATTCATTTCTTTATAGGTATTAAATGTTTAATTTTATATCCCAAAATAATCTGATTGATTAATCTCGATAAATTCTATATAATAAAGCTAATCATTTTCTATACTGAAAATGCTTTCTATATCTGACTAGCTTAATTTATATTCCGTTAAGTAATTTTGTCGAATTACTTATCAAAGTAACAATTAATTGAAATACGAATTATGAATGAAACCATCCAATTTCGTGGACGTTAGTTGACTCTAAATTCAGTTTTCCCAAATACAGTATGTGACCATATTACTGGAGTATAATACAGTATGAAATACGAATTATGAATGAAACCATCCAATTTCGTGGACGTTAGTTGACTCTAAATTCAGTTTTCCCAAATACAGTATGTGACCATATTACTGGAGCATTAATCGGCCATACAATCATTACGCGAAATAAACGAAAATTAAAGTTAACACAAGAAAAAGCAGAATTTATTTAGATTTTACTTACATTTGATAGTTGCCTAACGATGACATTATGACTGTTCGTACCTACAGACTAGAATGAAACGAACAAACTTTGATCGCTCTCGCTGATAAGTACTATAGATACGTTACACTCGGATGAAAATACATATTTATCTGGTTCGAATAATAAATTCAGCCGATAAAATCACGTGTAAATATCCCCGACGAATTAAAACATTTCATTAAATTCATAATTTCGATCAAATTTTCAGTTTTACATTCTGGCCAAACGGATTTTCTTTTATTTATACATCGCCATTCTTCATCCTTATGTGCCTTATAATGGTTCCTTATAATGGCTCACATGATCGATTGTATCGAATCCTCCAGGAATATGTATGTCAGTCAGATCTACTTTCAATAAATCCTAAGTTTGTACATCATTATTTACTATCGATAATACAATATGGCGCTAGATAAGCAATCCACACAAAATCGTATTTTTAGATTCCGGAAAAAGATTACAAAATCATTGGAATAATAATAGAAAAGGAAATTCTATGAACATTCAAAAATAAAAGGAAATTGTATACAAACACGTAAAATATCATAAATATTTAATAAACTATTAATTTTGTGCTTGCTTTATATAAACATTAAGAAGTACGATTTTTAGTGCAAAAATTATATTCAGGTATTTAAAAATAATTTCTGTATTAATTTATTTCAATGGTTTAAAATTAAAAATTGTATTTCTTCGGAAGGCCAACCAAATATACAGTGCAAATGGTTCCTTATAATTTATATTTGTATACAGTAAAATATATGATACATTAGTTAAGTATAGATAGACGATACCGTAAAGACGCGACCTACCGTTACGTAGGATCCGAATTCGAGCCCAGTTCGGATGATATCAATCATGAAAATTTTTGAGGCTTGGGGTATCAAACCGGACCCGGATGCCTCCATTAATTGTGGGCATGATCGAATCCCCGATGAACCATCGTTGATTCGATCATGCCAAGAACTTTACAAGTTGTTATTTATCGATTGAATCGATAAAATGGGCGAAATTGAAAGCGATAATGTAGATTATCATATAAAAAAACTTGCAATAAATGCTCAAACTACAATGACAAGATCACTAACACTAGAATTTAATCTCTTCTAAATCTTTATGGCATATTTATCCAATTAACAAGAAGCTCCGCTCCTATAAAGTTACTCTGCGTATTATCACGCAGATGAACTTTATAATTACAAATAATTTCGTAATTATAATAAATATAGAAATAATAATCTTCTTATCTTTGCCAAAAATCCAAGAATCTTCTCTACTTACGAATAATTAATTTATAATTTTTATATCTCTCTCATTTGATTGGAATTTTATGATTTATGCAGTAATTCGATTAGAAGAAAGGTTTTCGTTGTGATTATTTTTGCATTTTGAAATTTCTATCAAAAATCAATTCATAATTATTTGTACTCGTATTATCACATAATTTTAAAGTTGACTTTTTTTTAGGTTATTTAGAATTAAATATCAAGAAATTTTCTTTGAAAAAAATGATTTTTTATACTAATAATAATTCGATATTATAGATTAGAGCGTTTCTAGAGAATTTTCGTCCACGAAATGCGAAGGAAATCGAAAAGGAAGGAAACGAATGGACGGATTTTAACGGAAACTGGTAATAAAATTGGTCTATTTCTCGAACGGAAATTAATTACGTGCGCCATCAGAAAGAAAAGGAGACGCGAAATCCAAGTTTTAAGTTTAAACTCACTCATCAATGTCTCAGTTCGAATTGCTTTCAGTTTCGGGCATAATGGTGCACCCACCTTTCGGTATGTTATACAATTTCTCATATAAGCGTTTTTATATGATTTGTGTCGGATAAAATCTAAAATCTCGAAGATAACTCTGAACGGATCGATATTTTTGCAAACTACATAGGCTATAATTAATTTGTCTTGTTTTAAATATTTAATTTAAAGATTTCTGGGGTGCATATACTTTTGGAAACAAACCGATCGTTCGAATCGTGTACAAATCGTGTCGTTAGAATACAAACAGACTTTAGCGATCTGATCGATCTCTCTCCGCGTATACAAACGCCATGTAGAATCAACTGGATCGCTATCAAATTAATCCGAGCAAATGGCTGAAGTTAAGCTTATAGTTGTCAGCAAAGAAATACGTTTAACTGTCGAAAATGAAAAGTATTTAAAACTTATAAATGGTAAGTGAAAACATCATTATTAAAATATCTGATAAACTGAGGTGAAAAAGTATTAAGAGATAATTTTGCGAGACTGTTAAGCAAGGATACATGACGTGCGCTCTCCCATTTTGCCGTTTTGTGAGCAATTTTTATTCTCAGAGTAAATACCATTCGATCCTACTCGTATACTTTCGCCAGCTAACACACACGACAGAAGTGATCCGTATCACGTGACAAAGACTGATCCGATCTCGCAGATCTATCCATCTAAAACGAAAAGCATATGCACTCCTGGATAAAATAAAGTCTTCTACTAAATAGCAAAACGCAAGGCTGGACCTGTATCTTTACATGACATAGTTATTAATTATCTCGCACAGTGCGATAGCAATTTGCACTGGGATATTGTTGTTGGAGCGCGCATGAAAATAAAAGTTTGCTCTAATTAAAATTAATTATATTATAGATACAGAAATTAAAATTCGAAGGGATGCAGTAGTCTTTCAAGTAACATTTTTTTTACTTGTTTTATGAAAATAATATAATTTTATAATTAACATAAATACGATAAGGTGAAATTTTTAAGGGAAAACCATGTTAAATAATAAATTTACTTGTATTATATATTGAATATATAGAAACATATATATATATATAAATTCCATAAAACGTGTCCANATATATATATGTTACTATATTTAGGAAAGTATTTTTTAATATATATAACGTATTTTACTGTTTTTTTAATATATATACATATTAAAAAAATAGTTTCCTTAAAAATATGCAGTTGAAATGTATTGTACATATTTGAACATATAGCGCATTACATTAATTTTTACACATATAATAGGATTTATTGTAACTTTTATCAGAAATCTGCTTTAATGCGATAAGGCAACGCAATGCATGAGCGATTCGCAAAGGATAAAGTGCCTCCCTGGAGTACTTTCTATGGGAAACTGGCTCCTATTTAGATGTTAAATATGTGAAGAAAATCCAGCAAACTTTCCGTGGCCAGTCTTGGAAGCCACGACCCATGTTCGGTGGGTTTATCCACTCGGCTATGGTGGGTCCTTGTATCACAAGAGATCGCAATGTCTGAAAATTACGCGAAATAAAACAGTATAAATCACTACTGCACGTTACAGCACTTTAGAGTATTAAAAATATTTGATGCTGTTTGAGGTATAGCCTACGCAATATACTATCCAGCGCTTACCGTATAGTTCCAGATTTTATATATTTATCCACGTTTTTAAAAGTTTGATCTAATATAGGTGTTATGTCCTGCTCCTCAACACTCAACCACTCCCATTGTCTGCCTAACCGAATCATCATGGATATTTAAAAACACCTCTTAGACCAGTAACACACGGGACACTTTGCGGTGAACATTCTCCCATGTTTACGGATGGGAATAACCAAGACCTAAACCACAATGATGACACGTGTCCAACCGAAACGAAACTCCCCATGGAGTGTCGCCTTGGCGTGTCTATGAGCTTTGTAAAAGTGACAAATCGTGTCAACACACCATTCCACGCATTGGCGTTTATCTTGGTAAAACTGGATTATTTTTAAGTTGTTTTCTCCTCCTCCTGTGGCGCTACAGTTGGGGTCGATCTATACAAACATTGGGGGTACAGCCCAATGACAATGAGTAATTTTATTTTATACCGGTATATCGGGAGGGAAATAATTTGTTAGTACAAAAATATTAAGTGATATGTCCCGTTCTATATGGATCAGTGCCCATGCATGATTTGCACGTCGTCACAAAGTGTTCCGTGTGTCACTGGCCTTAGTGTTCTTAGGGCAAAGTGTTTTTTTTTTTAGAAAATAAATAAGCGATATCGCCATCTGCTGATGACGAGAAGACACCTGATGTTTTCTGTAATCAGTATTAAAGTAAAAATTAAATCCAGAGTTTGCTAGAAATTGACATTCAAAAGCCAGGAAAACCATAACAGATTCAATTCTCTTACTCTGGAAAATTGGTTTTAGTTAAAATCGGGAAAAAGTTGGCTGAGGTTAGTTGTTATACACGGTAAGGAAATCCTTTGAAGATTAACCGTGATTTTTTTTTCTATCTATCCATTTTTAAATAAAAATAATTCTTTATACGTTGGGAGATATTTAAATAAGTTTTGTAAATTACTATGTTCGATCCAGCCAGTTATATCCGAGTTTTTTTCGTCTGTTAAGCACATCCTTTGAGGATTTCCTTACCGTGTATACCAGCCTAAAATTCTAATTAGTTAAATTAAAAAGTTGGCTGAGGAGGGACAATAAATGCCCGAAATGTGTGTAAATAATATCAACACGTATCAACTAAATAAAATTTGATGATAAAAATTGCCAAGTGCCTGAAAATAAATACAATAATAATTTGTGTTTGAATTACTATTAAAATCGGGAGTTGACGCTTGCAGAATGGCGCTCTTGTGTATCTCTGCAATCAAAACACCTTAATATTTATTTGTTATAGGTTAAGCATCATTATTACAGTATAGATTTAACTCATCAATTTGAATCATGGTCTCTCATACAATTTAACTCACTCATGGTTTATCAGCATTTTTTCAGATAGCATTTACATTTTTAATTTTTAAAAAATGCAAAGTAGAAGGTAAATAAAGGTCACAGGATTCCCATAGAAAGTAAATTTTCTCCCAATACATCAGTTTCTGTTCACATCGATGATTTTTCTCGTTTTAAACGTCATATTTTTTCTATGCCTATTTCTCAAGGCCTTTTAGGTTTTTATTACCAGTGACATCAAAGGGTACGAGGGATGCGGACCGCATAGGCCATAGGGTAATTACCCCCTTCAGAGGGAGGACACAAAAATATATCTATAAAATTTTTGTGCAATGTTTCAGCAGAAAATTATTATTATTATATTAATATCCCGATAGTTGTTATCAAACTGCCATTATTACCAAATTACAATAAAAAATAAATGTAAATACTGTGCATATAATATTGTAAAGGTGTAATTTCAATTTTGCTAGTTGTTTACATTATTTCTATTACGGAAATCACGATTTACGAGGGACGTTACCGTAAAAAATTACTAGGATTCAGGTCTGTTACGAAAAAAGATCCATGCGGTGATACCACGAATTACCACACTAAGTGACACCTATGTTTATAACAATCTCACAATTCTTTACTTTTCTTTAGCGTGAGACCCGGAGTATTATTATATTCTTTCCATAATACTTTCCGGGTATTTTTTTCTGTTTGAAGGAAATCTCATTTGGCTTTTTATTTTCCAGTATTGTCTTATATTTTCCTACTAATTCCAATAATACTTCCTTTTATAGAAGATGGTAAAATTACGTGCGTTGCTTTCGATATTTTATATTTCCGTCATTTCTATACAGGTAATTGCTTGTAACCAATCTAGATGATGCTTACGAAAGAACTAAATAAATTTTCTTTTTTGCATTTATTTTCTAAATATTTTTACAGCATAAAAATATTATGTATTTTACAAAATGAAATAAATATTAAATATTTACTTCAATTTGTAAAATGTCTGTGGGACGATTTTATTCACCTTGTTTGAAGCTTAATAACTCCTGTGCTTTTGTCAAAAATATCTGAAATTTTGCAGGGAGGTTTGTGTATTAGGGGATTGATGCTAACAAATTTCGGTGATTAAAGAGGGTCATGTATATCTCCAGTAAGGTCAGATTTAATGATGATTTTACTCGTTATTAGCATTGAAAACTTTTTATAAAACCCTCAAAATTAAGTTTTTTTTCCATTTTATAATAGTTAAAAATATAAAAAGTTTTTAATAAAAAAATATAACAACAGATGGGGCAACCAAATATTGCCGGAAAAGTTAAGCAATTCGTAACTGGACTTTTCTTATTTTTAACTCTCCACCCGATAGCCATTAAAACGGAATTTTTTCCATGCCCTCTTAGACTGCTCATATGCTGCGTTGTCTTATCCCGTTATTCCAAGTAATCAGACGTTAAGTTCATTGTATCCCTTGTCGCCTAGTACATCCTTTACGAAGTAAATATTTCAAGTAAAATATCAATAATACAGGAAAAGAGGCTGATTTAAATTCAGTTACGAAGCAACTACAAGTAACCAAAGAATACCTTCTAGAATGTAGAACTTATAAGGGTTTTAAAAAATTTTGACTGATGCTGTTGAAATTGCAAAAGATCTGGAGATTCAACCGAATTTTAAAATACAAAGAAACAAAGAGAAAACAAAGTCGACAGTTCGAACATGAATGTCAAGTTTCTCAGCAGAAATTCAAAATACAATTTTACTATTGTGTATTGGATATGGCTTTAGTCAATTGAAGAGAGGTTCGAACAACTACACAGCATAACATTCTATTAGGATTTCTTTATTATATACTGTATATAATAGCACTAAAAAACAACTGCTAATGCACTAAACGATTGCAAAAATCTTGAAATATTTGGCTCATAATGCTAATAAAGATATCGATGTCAACGATATCTGCAGTGAACTTCAAGCTTTATCGCTCTGCGGAACCCGGGATCGATCCGGACGGGTCGAAAAAATCTCCATGAATTTTTCGGGAGTGGTCCGACCAGATATGTTGGCCCCCGTCTCTCATCACCCAGCCGCCCCATTGTGGGCCTGGCCAAACCGATAATGGGCTTTCTAAAAGAGGCCTTCTTAGTGCCCACAGGGCGGAAAGGAGTTTAAAAAAAAATAAAAACCCTTTCTTCCCTATAAATGGTTTTAAAATGGTTGTTTATTTTGACAACTGCGAACTTATGTAAGAAGGAATATAGATTTTTATCTTTTTTAATTCTTTTCACTTTTGGCACTAAGTTCTCTATTTTTGTGTTTATCATGATTTGGACTAGGCTCATAATGGTGGCCGCACGACACTGGAAGAAGGTACAATGCAGTACATTTCGGGTCATCCGCAGTAAAGATGTCAGCTTTCCGCTCCGAGACACGAATTCGAATCCAGATCAAGAACCCGAGGAATTTTTTATGGATGACCTGTCCCCATTCTTTATCGTCGTGCCATCCCTATTGCGCCAGGCTGAACCCATGATGATGGGCGTGGAAAGAGTTAAAAGTAAAAAATAGTCGTAATGCTATGAAATTATGCATGTATTTAATGGTGGACGATTTAATGTATTGATATATCTTTTAATTAACACTGAAAAAGTAGACCGAATGCTAGAAAATTGCTTTTACGTAGCAAAAAAAAAAAAAAAGAAAGAAAGAAAGGAATCCAAAGATACATCACAAAACGCACAATCTTATTAGATGGCAACAAAAGGTGTATTGGATATTTCAGTTAGAATATGTTGAACATTGTATTCGTCTTGAAGACTACATCAAGAAATGGAACGATTTAAAAAATCTATAATGATCGTATTCTGTAGATTGAGTTAAAGAGTTGACTATATCCAGTTTAGATCTAACTGGAAGTCAAATTATGAGTTACCCATCTTTCCTATTCAATTAAAACTACAACTTTATTAGGGCAATAGTAAAAAGAAAGCATATTAATGGGTATACAATAAAAGAAAATTTAATCATTAATTTAACGATTATTGCTATTATATATAATCCAATAATTTGAATTAAAGTCATGGAGATGAAATTATATTCTAAACTTGCCATTGTTAGCTAAATAAAATTATCATCATCATATTATTATTATTAAATTATAATTAAATTAAATATTATATTAAAATTATTATGTCATTATTAACTTTAGAAAAAATTTATTGCAAATTTACATATATTCTACAAGACTTTTTAGATACAGAAAATTTTCAATCTTCACTAGTTGATTATAATTCACGATTTTAGTTTTTTAAAATATATTCTACATTTTATTTATTTTATTAATTTGAATTTTATAAATTATCTAATTTCTACTTTTTAAATAAAGTATATTAACTTTAATTTAGAAAATCATAATTATAAATATGATTATAATTTTTTCTGTGTATATTGTATATTGCCTGATTTAAATAATAAGTACAAACCATAAAAAAAATTTTTTTAAAATCACATAATATTTCAAAATTTGATATTATTTAAATTTTTTAAAATGTATCTATCCAGTTTTTTAATTCATCTAAAACTACAATTAAATGAGGATTATCTCCTAATTGATGTATTTCATCTCTGGCTCTGTAAAAGAAATTCAGAAATAACTATATCATTAGTAAACTGTAAAATATAAATCAACTTTTAAAATTACAGAATTATTTCAAAATACAATGAATACCTTAACAAAACTCATTCATTGTATTTATTAGTATAAATCAGCAGTTCTCAACCTGTGTTCTGCAAAGTTGCCCTAAGTGTTCCATAAAAAAAAATTATTTTAAAGCTTTTATTGCAAATTTATTCCTATGTACAGCAACATGTTACTTTATTTGTAGAAAATTCCATGTTTACTATTTTACTGAATAGAATAAACTTTATTAGCTTATTACTTTGTGAGAATAGTAAATATGGAATTGTGTTCTGCAGCCTCAGAAAAGTCGAGAACTACTGGTATAAGTATTAATTTCTTAAGTAGAATTTTTCTTATAAGTAGTTTGATTAAGAAAGCACAAATCTACTCTGAATACCGGTACCGAACAATAAAGCTTAAGTAAGTATGAGATTGATTAACAAAAGATTTAAAGGTTTGAAATTATAATGTCATAACTGTAGCCTTTAGTTTATTTTTGTCATCATATTCTAAATCTACAGTCCTCAAACTATAAAGGTCTTCAAAAATTTTATAATCTTAAAATTGAAATTTGTTAAATTATCTAGCATGATGGTTCCAAAACTTTGAAGTGTCATGAATCCTTTTAAAAAAGGTGTATTTTGGCAGACCCTTATTTTTTGCTGTTAGCTTTTAGTCATTAATTAATATAATAATAATAATAACTCTCCCGTGGTCACCACCTGGTCGTGGTGGGAGAGCCCAGTAATTTAACTGATCCATAGGGCAATGCAGGCTGGAGCACAAGCTCCTGGTAGGGACACCCATGCCAGTAAGGTCTATGGGGAGAAATTAAGCTAAGAGTGACCACACACCCACATTCTGTGGAAAAATTTATGATGGTAGTAACCAGATTAAAGTATGATACCGGCTCGGACGTTGCCCGGGTTAACAAGGTCCGCGTTCGTGGGTTAAGCAGAGGCTCACGTTCGAAAAATAGGCTCCAGTCTCCCTTGGTTACCAGTGGTGAAAGCAGCACTGGCCCAAGCATGGCTACTGCAATGCCCTCAACAGATGAGAGGAATCAACCTAGCCTTGGTGTTTCTGTGGCAATGCATCCACAGACCACAAAGGCTGGAAAACCACGCCAACGGATGAAATGGA